GTCATATGGGAGTGCATGAAATTTTTCTTTTATCTATTTTTCTAACCAGATACAAAAAAAAAATTATGCTAAGATATTCAACATTATTTTCTTGCATCATCTCAGTATGATATCCATTGTTGCGGATCTCTTTATCACTAAGCAAATCCATAAGGATTTGCTAGAATAAATTGTATCGTCAATATATAATTTTATATTATTTGATAAAATAATACAAGTTCTTCTAGAGTTGTCAACGATATTCGATGCACCTGATATTGTATGAACATTATTTTTTGCTAACGTTGAGTCCAAAAAATATTTTGTCTTCAAGAATGATAGTGTAGTTGTACTATCAATCAAACAGGTATTTTGATAATCCATCATAAATTTATAAATATAACAAAATATATATATATATATATATATATATATTTAAAAAAATTGAATTTAAATTTAAAAGGGTAAATATAATTCAATTTGTGAAATTAGCGGTGCATAATAAAATTTCAATTTTTTCGTAAAGTAAAAATATATTTTAAACTAAATTTCTAAAATAAAGGTAAACATAGAAAATAAACTAATCTATATCTTCCATCATACCACCCCCAACCAAATGATCAATATTTCCATTTGGATCAGCAAAGAAATCGGAGACATCTAAATAAGTCACATCAATGAGACAATCATAATCAGCAATAATTTTCTGCATTTTCCCCTTTCCCTTGATTGATTTTTCATTCCACTGGATGTTTTGCCATATGACAGGTATGTGCCCAATATTATTTCATTCCACATCTAAAGTAACTTTCTATGTGTGCATTTTTTGATGTGTTACTTTCGCTTGCTTCGTGCTTTATGAAATTGTTACCTTGCTAGAGATAGCTTTTGTTTATTATTTCATCCATGGTTTGTTCCACATGTACGTTCATGTCCATGTCCAAATCTGTGTCCACGTTCACGTTCATGTCCTTATCTTGATATTGCATTTGCTTTATGCAATACAATACCTTTTATTTCAGGTAATGGTACAAAATCAGTTGGATGTAACCTGTGATTTTTCATTAGCATTTTATTATTTTGTTCTGCCACAAGCAATCAAGATATAAGTTCTGAGTACTTTTTAAAACTACGCTCACAGTATTGCTGCAGAAGCACATTACAGGTACAAAAGGTAGAAATAGTTTTCTACCAATATGTCTTCATCAGTGATTTTTTCTCCACACAAGGTCAAATTTGAACATATTTTGAACAATTTAGAATTGTACCCACTAGTAGTTTTGAAATCTTGCAAATGAAGGTGCATCCGCTCATAGTAGATTTTGGGGAGACTATAGTCCTTTGATAATCAAATCTTTGAGTCAATTTTTCCAAAGAGTATGTGGATCTTTCTTAGTGAGATATTCACTTTTCAATCCACCGTGAAGATGATGACGAAAGAAGATAAATACTTTTACACGATCCTATAGAGATTCTTTAATTCCTTCTTTTTATTTTTTCTCTCAGACTTATTGAGATAAGATGGATAATAGCATCGAGTATCCATGACAGATAATTTTTGCCAAATATGTCAAGTACAGCAAATTCAAGTTTTGTATTATTTGTCATTTGATTAACTACACAATATAGAAAATACAATTAATTTCAAATAATATGATTAAATATCATATAAAAGTTAATAAAATAGTCAATATCAACATGACATAAGTTACGTATTTTCCTTTAAGGATAAAAAGCATGTGCTACTATGGGAGCATGTTGTATTTTACTATTACTTTTTCAAAAGCAATATGTCAATATTCTTTTGCGATATTAGAAAAATATAGTTCGTGCTCTTCAAGGGCAATTAATATTCTTCAACAATATTAATTATAATGTTATGCTACTTCGGGAGTAACAACAATTCAATCATAATATTATGTTACTTCAAGAGCAACAACATGATAAAATATCAATTTATAACTTATAATAGAATGCCTAAAGTTATTTAATCAGATTAAAAATATTAATTACCATACATACATAAATGTAAATTACCAAACATTCATTAGGAAAAAATCTTCATATACCTAAGTTAATGGTTGAATAAAATTCACGAGTTATTAAATAAAGTAGCATATGTTATTAATTTACGTGCATGTCAACGCAACCTCTGGATAAACTAAAATGAATCGCGATTCTAATATTGAAAAATTTGGGAATGGAAAAATCAAGGGATAACCACATATCTACTATATTATATAAACATGTTTCACAATTAACAAAGTTCCTTAAAACTTTCATAATCCAGGTGATAATTGAAAATATTAAATATATAAAAATATAATGTTATATACGTTAAATTTGGATAAAAAAATTATAATCTTCTACAAATTACTAATATGCCATAATTAAATACATTTTTTATTTTCCAACCATAATCAAACAAGATTTTCTCTCTCTACAAAACGGGTTCCACAAAAACTCTCTTTCTAAACAACAGATTCACCAAAAACTCTCCAAAAACATCACGAAAATTTCCCTGGCATTCTCTGCAATCGATCAATAACGTCGATATGCTGGTAATTTTCATTTAATTGGAGAAAGTCGAAGTTCGAGTATGGAAGAATTCAATTTGCCCAAAGCAGAAACTGAAGTTTTTTTATATGATTTCGAAGGTAAGCATATAATTACTTAGTATAGCTTATGATTTTGAAGAAACAGGTGTTTTCGAAACTATTGAAACATTTATCCAAACATAATCAGAGATTTCACGCCATTAAGAATAAACTATATTTTGCCCAGTGTGTGACGTGTATTTTTTCATTAACCATTGGTAGTATGCAATTTTTGTTTTTCAATTTATAGTCATGAACGTGTTGATCTATGACTGTTTTTGTGATTCAATCACATTGGTGCATATTTTTGTTAATTGTGACTAGTTGTGACCACTGAATTAAATAGATTGTGACATATATGTTAAATGTCTTTGACAGTCCATAAGTAGAATTAGTTTATTCTGTGATTAATGTCATTGCATTGAAAATTGATTCTCTGCGACCCTAAATTTGTTGACCGTATGTGAATTTCTTTACATTAAATAACTTCTGTGACCTGTATTGATAGATCTTTGACTTCTTCATCTGTGGCCTGTATTCATCAATGTCATTGCATCTGATCATTTCCTGATTTTAGTGAATGAAGTGTGACATTTTGTTATTTGTTTGTGATCAGGGATGACAATTTTGAACGTGTGCCTGTTATATGGAGGTCACACATCACTTATACTAGTGAATGATACGTGCAAGTATGATGAGTTGGTTAACCTTGTTATTTCAGAATTGGGGCTTAATCATGCAGAAGTAGGTGTGAGATTAACATATTCTTTGGATTCTAGTTTACCTCCAGTTCGGATACTAAGTAATAATAATGTCTTAACGTATTTGAGGCTAAGATCTTTGGATGGCATTGTATCGAACTATCCTATTGCAGTTGATGTTATCACTACAGACTCATGGCAGTCAACAGGTGCATTGCAATGCCCAGAGTCATCAATTACTACCATTGAGTCCTCGACTAATGTGTTTTCTTTACAACAAATAGCTCAGGATATATGTGACTCGGTTACTACAATTGAGAACGGAAACATTGAAGAAGATGTGACATTGATATCTCAAGCAAATGCTAGAGAAGTAGTGGAGGGAAATGTTTTCCGCAATAAGGAAGTACTGAAAATGAGCTTGGCCCTCTATGCCATACAAAACAAATTTGAATATAAGGTGTTGAGATCGGACAAAAAAGAGTACGTAATAAAGTGTTCCCAAGATGATTGCAAGTGGATATTTAGATCTTCACGCTTGGGAGAAACGAAAATGTTTAAGATCAGGGAAATCTATAATGGTCACACATGCTCAATGAACATTGTTTTAGGATCTCATCGACAAGCATCTAGCTCAATGGTGTCAAACTACATCAGGTATAAATACACTTCTTCACGTACAATATACACTCCTAATGATATCTCAAATGACATGTTGCACAATTATGGAGTATCGGTGAATTATATGAAGGCATGGAGGTCACGTGAGCAGACATTAAAATTGATTAGAGGTGATCCAACAGCATCGTTTCAGTTGCTACCTTCTTATTTTTTTATGTTACAACAGATGAACATAGGGACAGTCACACAAATAGAAACTGATCATTTAGATAGATTTAAATATTGTTTTATGGCTTTGGGTGCATCGATTGCTAGTTGGAAATATTGTAGGCCAGTCATTGTTGTTGATGGTACATATTTAAATGGTCACTGTGGCGGTACACTCTTTACAGCTTGTACACAAGATGCAAACAACAATATCTTCATACTAACTTTTGGGATTGGGGATAATGAAAACGATAAGTCGTGGAGATGGTTTCTTGAGATGTTGAAGAGGGCATACGTATCTAGAGATGGATTATGTATAGTATCCGATAGACACAATAGCATAAGAAATGCCATTGAATTTGTATATCCAGAGACAATGCATGGGATCTGTTCATACCATTTGCTAAAAAATTTGAAGTCACATTATGCAAAATCAGGTCACAATGTCACACATGCATTCAATTCTGCTGTAAGAGCTTATACAGTGGATGAATTTGAATACCAAATGCAGCAATGGGACTCAATAAATGAAGATATCAGGGGATATTTGGTATGTGATTGTCTGAAACTTATGTTATATGACTTCCTGTCACTATTTTTGTGATGTTATGAAATTTCTATGAATATCTGTGATCACGCATGTTTAATGTACAAACTATATTTCATTTTTTATTACATGAAATTGAAACATGATTATGAATGAAATATACAGTGCATATTTAGCATGTGGTCTCATTTATAAGTGAAAACATAATATAGTTTTATGAATGTGTCCATTTGTGACCTGTTCTGTGATAATACTGACAATCTGTAAACTTTTTAGAGTTAACTGTGACCATATGTGACTTGTTACTTGAATCTGTTATCTAATAACTAAAATTATTTTGTAGTTGGATGTTGGATATGAAAAATGGTCAAGATTGCACATGCCAACAAATGGATACTCTACTCTGACATCAAACATAGTAGAATCTGTTAATGCAGTCACGAAGGCGGCAAAAAATTACCCCATTGAAGCACTTCTAGAATCATTGAGGCAAATGGTCCAATCTTGGTTTTGCAAAAATAGAGATGACGCACATGGCACTTTCACAAAGTTTGCAACAAAATATGAGAAGTTGTTAAGGGAAATGAGCAATGATGTGAGAAATCTAAAGGTAAAAACAAGAAAACTATGTTTATTATGTTGATCACAAGTATAACTTTAAATATTTTTTATTTTTAGGTTTCACCTGCAAGTCACGCTTTATTTGAAGTGAGGGACAATTATTCATCATACATGATTGATATAACTCTACATACATGTAGTTGTAGAATGTTTCAAGTGGATCAACTTCCCTGTCCACATGCACTGGCAGTAATAGCAACATTGAAGCTGAATGTATATGACTTTTGCTCTATGTATTACACAAGAGATGCATATCTAAATACCTACAAAGAGACTGTATTTCCTGTAGGTAATAAATCAGAATGGAATTTGTCAGAAGATGTAAGTAATAGAGTTGTTTTTGCTCCAAACCAAAAGAGAAGCTCTGGATGGCCTACTGAGAAGAGAAAGAAGCCAGCATATGAAAGATCACAAGTTGTGAAATGTGGAAGATGCGGTGAATTCGGGCACAATCGTCGAACATGCAGGAACTTGGTGCCACTTAACCAGAATGACAAAAAAACTGAAAATAAAGAAAGATCCAAAGAAATTCAAATAGATTAGCATAATTTTTTTACAAAATGATATTCTTTGTAATTGCAAATTGTTTCATTTTATTGCCGAACGACGTATTTTTTGGATTATACAAGTTGATAGATTTATGCATTAAGCTTTCGTTATTCTCACGATGTCACTTATTTCTGGAAAAGGGCTGTGTAAACAAACATTGATTGTAACTCTGTTTTTGATGATTGTGACCGTCTGTGACCATTTCAAGCATAAAATAAGCTCTATGTTTTTTGTTTAACTTGTGTGTTCAAACTGAATCTGAATGTCATATTCCACTAGATGAGACCAACTTGTGTGTTCAAACTAAACCTGAATGTCATCTTCCACTAGATGGGACAAATTCTATGCTTACTTCTTTTGTAAGAGTGTCGATGATAAATGTTAAGAATTTGTGACCATTTGTGACCTGTTCATATGTAACAAGTTAATCAAACTATTCGTGACCATCTGTGACTTACAGTTATATAAGAAAGTACTCATATTTGACCACTTGTGACCTATTCAAGTCATGCAAAATAACCAACTGTTGCTATTTGTGACGATTTGTGACCTGCGGTTATATAACACATTACTCGCATGTGACTATTTGTGACCTGTTTAGACTCTACAGTATTCTCACGTGACCTGTTCAGACCGTGCGAATATAGACTTTTACATCCATAAAAAACTTAGAAGATATAAACAAAATAATTCACATAAACACCAATACTTTCACCTTGTACCAATTAACAAAAACAAATTCAAATTCAATTCCAAAACATATTACAAAGATAACATCTATCAACTACATCATAAAAATATCTGTTTGTCTAATTTTGAACAGCTATCAATCTAATCCATCATGAAAATAATGCCATCAACAGGAGTTCATTCATCTGACTTTGAACTTCCCTTTCCAATCTGCTTCAGTTGCTTGTTTTTGAACAGCAACGCTGCAATTTCAAGTCTGGCATTCCCAGCATCAAATGATATCGGCATATTGCCAAGATCATTGTGCAACAAATACTGTGCATACTTTATCACAAAAATCCCACAATCATGCCAGTAATATTTAAAGAAGACAAACCATAAGTAATTACAAAATGTTGATGGAAAATGATAAAACTTGCAATGCTCATAACGAAACTTACCCATTTTGTTGTTGGGGTAAACCACGGACAATATTAACATGCAGTTCCCCAGATTTGTCACCAATACTATCACTAGTTTCCTTCCATAGCCCGACAAATTTTAAAATGTGTGTAAGAGTCTTCACAAGCGATAAAACCCCTTCGCGAACCTTGTTGTCCTTGTATGATTTGTTGCTTGAATTATATATGTAAAGAATATGATTAGTAATATCAAGCTGCCCTAACATCCAATGAGCATGATTTGTGGGCATAATGGGCATCAACACAGATTCAACTTCTCTCCATGCAGTATTAAATGATAACCGTTCACCATTGATGGTTTTGATTAGCTCATCCTTGTTCTCAACAATGCTTGGGTCTTGAATAAACTTGGAGTATGTCGACTTGATTGACATATCAAATATGCAGTCTGTAGTGGTAGCTTTCATCTTCACACCTTCACCAAACTTGGCAAGTTGTCTTATGTAATGAAAGCATGCATCCAAGTGCTGTAATAAGAAAGAATATACATAAGTAATACAAAACTACTATGCATATGTGGAAAATGGTGAAAAAATTGTACCGTGCTGTTCAATGATGAATTAGAATCGATCAATGCATGCCACCAAGTTTTATAATGAACAGCGACAGTGCCACATACAAACTGAGCACTTATCACGTTATCTGCATCTTTAAACTTTACCCTGTGCACACACATATGCCCTCATCAAACAAAGAATATGATTGTGACCAATTTATTTCTGTCTGTGACTAGAAATGCTGTAGTCACAAAAAGAAATGGAAGGTCACAATTCACTAAAAATACTAAAAGCTACGTTTAATTTACTTGTTCTTGGGCTTGTATCCTCTGTCAAACCAATTCTTAAATGAACTCAGATCTGTACTATCAACTCCTTTGGAATAATTTTGGAACACGACGTTTACAGTGATAGATTTTGATCCAGTAGCAGCATGACGTGGATCGACCTTAACAAAAGGTGACTGCAGAGTTTTCGATGGCTTTTGTGCTCTCTTCACAGGTAGTCCAGATGATGGTGGTGCAGGTGTTTCTTCCTGAATAAAAAACATAAAAACAACGTTTCTTAAATTAGTGTATGACAATAAATCTGAATTTATAATATTAAAACACTAAATGTTTCATTAAACTGACATCTTTACAATGAAGTTCAGTAGACTCCAACACACGTGCAATAGCCTCATCAACCTGATCCTACACTTCTTTACTGGCAAAAAATGTATCATCAGAGCTTTTAGGTGTCTGTGAGGAGCAAACTCCTAGATCAAATGAAGGAGATTCAAGAACATAGTCATCATGAACATGTGAAAACTCAGGTGCCATGTGACCCTTGTCCACTTTTTCAGCCACATCATCACCTTTTTGCTTGGGTTCTATGTGAACATTGTCACTTTTTTCAACAATATCATCACCTTTTGGCTCAGGTTCCATGTGACCCTTGCCCTTTTTGTCAACATCATCATCATCTTTTGGCACTTGTTCCATCAAAACATCTTTACCACTCAACTTCTTATGAAGTTCATCCATCACCGAAGATAAAATGTCAGAAACAGATTCAACAAAATTTTTAAGAGACAACCTGATGTCACTCAAGCTATCTTTCAACACATTGTGACTCTAAATGACCTCATTGAGCTTCAAAGAATTATTTGATTGACGCATGTTTACATTCATCTTAGAGAGTTCTGACTTCATTGACATAAGCTCCTCTTTCAACCCCTTGTTCTCCGCTTGGAGCTTGGTTACTTCCTTTTCAATCAACTGCTTCAGTCGACCACATTCCTAATAAATTTTGTAGTTAGTGAAATTGTATATAAAATGTGTTCTGAAGTGAAAAGACAATGATATTACTTACCTCGACACATGAGCAATCTGGATGTGAGGCAGCACTTTGCTGATCGCGAGAGCTAGAGCCAGCAGCCCCCGTTTGTTTATATAGTGATGGGCCTACAAAATCTGAATCTTCAACGTCTACCTTCGACAGCAGGGGAGTTGCCTCACTTGTGCCCAATTGATTTTCAGAGATCCTAACATTCCGAGTTGGTTGTCTAGGCTTTGAGTACTCCACATCTACCGATCGTACACAACATATATAAGAATGAAGAAAGTCACAAGAAACAAGTCACATGTTTCACGTCACAAGCTTAAGAGACATGTGACTTTACAAAACAGGATATTCATACTTCAGTTCACAATCGTATGAAGAAAGTCACATATCACACGTTTCTGCTCACATTCACAAGTCACAAGTCGCATAAGAGCAAACTAAGTCACAAGGCACAAGCCACAACATACATAACAACAAAGAGAGTCACAGGTCACAAGTTACATGTTTCAGGTCACAGTCATAAAACATATGTCACTTTACAAACAGGATATTCATACTTCAGGTCACAAATCATATTTTATATCATAATAAATGTGAAATTCATATTTAAAACCTGTCATGTATGGCATTGTGAGCTCAACTTCAGATGGATCTATGTCATTTATCACAACCTGTTTCACATAAGATAAAAAAATATTGATCATATGCCATTTCAAAATTTATATAATCAACCAAATGATTACATAACAATTTAAATGTATTTAAAACCTTATATTCTCATTTCCAAATACTTTGTCCTCCAACATTGACACTGAAGGATGTTTGTGCGCAGTCCAATTAATAATGCGTGGATATTTCTTATAAATTCTTGTGGCCACATTTCCCTCAAGTGCAGGTATGCACTCATATAACCACACCTGGAAAGCCACTAAAAAACCTGTCAATCTATAGTGACTAGTTTGTTTTGATAGTCCCTTTTTTAGCGACAATAAGGTGGTCTCAAACAAATATCTACCCCAAGGAAATGTTTCAAGAGTGGCAAAATCGTCTACAAGTGCAAATATGTATTGATCCACCACCTTCGGGTAGGATGTAGCAAATAAGTATGAGGTGATGAGATAGATAATTCCAATCTTAACAACGTCAAGGTCTGGTGCATCATCAAGTGAAATAAAAACCCTCTTGACATCTTCACTTGTAATAACTTTTAAGTCCTTAAAATATGTGTCCTTCATTGAAGACGGTTTTTCATCTAACATTGGTCGACCATCGACCCCATCATACCTCAATCCCGTAACCAAACAAAATTCAGCAATTGAAAAACGAATATATCTCCCATGTACATTAAACCACATCTCTTGCTTGTTCGGTTGCTTGAACTCCCGTAGTAAAACTTGGTGAATCAATTGTGGCTGCACAACTATCTCCCTACAATGCATGTAGTAGGAGAAACATGTGTTTTCTAGAATTGCCCTCTGCGCAACCTTAAATTTCATCACAAAGTGCGTAATCACACTCTGTATTTGCATTGTGGTGATTTTTCCAGAAAACCAATTCCTTGATTTTATTAAGTATTTCCAGTCCTGCACAATGGTAAAATAAAAAATGTTACTCTGACCTTCAACATAAACAAGTAGAAAGTCACAATCACGCAATACATAAAATAAGTCACAAAACCTTCAAATTACAAAATACCTAAAACAGATCACAAAATTATATTTCCTACGCAGAATACCCAAATCAGGTCACAAACTACTCAAATAATAGGTCACAAAATCGGAGTTCACCTTCTTCATGGGTTTCCCGCCAGAGGATGACATTTTAACTCTCTTTGCTGAAGAAGAATCTCTTTCAACATATTTCCTCTTTCCTTTATCCTTCTCCATCATTTTCGCACCAACACTTCGAGTTTTTGCCATTCCAAACACAACTATTGTTGAAACTAAAATTTAATAAACTATTGTGCGGTTCGTAGTAGTGGAGAAACGGAGTGGGAGGGTACTTTACTGTATTAGAGAGAGAGAAGAGAGAGAGAGAGAGAGAGAGAGAGAGAGAGAGAGAGAGAGAGAGAGAGCAACGTCGTTGCTATATTTTTGGTAGAGAGAAGAAGAGAGAGAAGAACGTGGTTTCTTTCTGCACTGCACTGCACTGTAGAGAGAGAGAGAGAGAGAGAGAGAGAGAGAGAGAGAGGGTTTATGGTAAAACGCGAAGGACGTGGTTTGGATGATCAGTGATTACGTGCAGAAGTATTATGAAAACTGTGTAATTCAGATATAGAGGGTTCAGATTTCATCACGTAAATGAACAATTAGTTTATAATTATTATTAATTTTAAAATAAATAATTAACACCTGATTTTAGAAAATTAAACTTAATCACCCTAGTTTTGAAATGTAAAGTTTATAAGTATGGTTTTGCGTTATTTTTCCAAAAATCAAACCTTTGTATACAAACATTAATGGGACATTCATTTTGGATCCTACTTGGATTACAAGTTTGCTAAGTTGAGCATTGACGTGCATAAAAAAAAATGAAGTATGGATACACTCATATGCATATAGAATTATATTAATGGATAATATTTTTAAATATGTGCTGCTAATGCATGTGTTGGTAAGCAAAAATAATTCATGCATATGTATATAAAAGTTCACCATGTCACCAAATTAACTTTGGTACACATGCCACGTGATTGTATTTATAAAAAAAAAAATTACCTTCTAAATAATTCACTTTGATTTTGAGAGAGTTGTGCTGATAATATGTTGTGAAAAGAGAGAAAAGAGAAGAGAGAATAAAAATCAATAGAATTATGTGTATATTATTAAGAATTAAGGATACAATGATAATAATTTTTAGAGCTGTAGTGGTACAGTTGTCATTTACTAATAAACTTACCATTTACAACATAAATTAAAATTTTGAAATAATTTGTAAATATCTAAAGATTAAACTTAAAAGACTGATAGACATGGTAAGTTAATTAATAGCTTTTTTTCCCCTTTTATAAAGGTTGAACCCTAATCTTGAGGGCCCCACCGTCCCGTCCCACCCCTAGAGCTTTGTGAGGGAGGTAAATTGTGGGATGTACCCTAACAAGTCAGGGAACAAAAGCTGTCTGTACACTGCGCCTAAAAGGAGTCCAATTACATGTCTCAGGAATCGAATCCCCACACTGTGACTGCTAGACGTGAGATAACCTCACTCTTGTCCTTTGCACCATTGAGTTATACCCCAAGGGCCTCTTTTTTTCTCCCCTTTTATATGTTATATAAAAGGTAGTTGCCCTACAAAACGCAATAGCAAACAATAATATTGTTGTTACCTTTTATATATACAAAAGGCAATTTTGTATAAAAGGTAAATTTGTGTATCACCTTTTAAAAATTGACAATCAAATCTTTTAAGGATGACGGACGTCCATTATCAAAGGAAAAATTTCATATCTAAGAGATTAAATATTGTCCATTTCAAAACTAAGAAACGAGGTTTAAAATTTCAAAAATTAGATATTTATAAAATTTATTTATGAAATAAATAATTAAAAATGTATTTAATAAATTAAATATATTAAGGTCAGCAATTTGCATCATCTATTCACAAATTATCGAATTAATTGATCACAAATCATTTCTCCATCATGAATCAAAAATTTCATAAGACAAATTACAAGATTCAAATGTTTAGGTCACATTTATTGATCACAAGTTATCAATTACATATTATTTATTAGTCATTAAATATCCAATTTATTGGTCTCAATCTCAAATAATTGGTCGCAAACACTCTTAATCCCACCACATATCCCACCCAATCCCAATCCACCATGGCACTAACCAAAAGTCACGATTACAAATTTAGTCGTAATCTCATATTTTTCTAGGTCATTTTATTGGTCACAATCAGATCACACACTCCTCACCCCCATGCCACCTATCCCCGCTCATCCATAAAGCACTAATTATTAGAGCCAATATGAATTGTGAACTGCAGAAATATTATTCATTTGAATCACATAAAATGAATGAGTGTATACAATATAAATAGGCGCCAAAAGTAACTACCAATACAACTAACATCCACCTGGCACTACTAACACGCTAACTGTGTTTTAACTATACAAACAACATTGCTTCTAATACTCCCCCTCAAGATGTGCTGTAAATATCTTTCACGCACATCTTGGACGGCAAAGGATTAAGGCTGGATGGAGACAGAGGCTTGGTAAAGACGTCTGCAAGTTGATGTTGTGAACAGACTGGTAGAAGTTTAATGATCCCAGCATTGATTTTGTCACGAATAAAATGACAATCGATTTCAACGTGTTTTGTTCTCTCATGAAAAATCAGGGTAATGGCAATCTGAATTACAGCATGATTGTCGCAATATAACATGGCAGGAGATGAAAAATTAAGCAAAAAATCTTTTAACAATTGGCTGATCCAAATGATCTCACTGACAGTAGAGGCAAGAGCTCTATATTATGCTTCAATTGAAGATCGAGATATGGATGGTTGTTTCTTTGACTTCCAAGAAATCATAGAGTTGCCAACAAAGATGCAAAAATCGGTGGTGGACTTTCTTGTATCAATGTATGGTCCCAATCAGCATCTGAAAAAGCTCGAATTTGAATGACTGGATTAGAATACAATTGAGAGGAAAATAAAAGACCCTGTTTAGGATTGCCCTTCAAGTATCG